TAAATAAAAAAACAATAAAAATTTTAATACTTGGTGCTTAGAGAATCAACATTTTTTGTTATTTAGGCAAAAAGCGGGACATACCTTATCGTTTTTTGGAAATCGATGCATTTTTACACTTTTGTACACAACAAGAATAAACCATAATAATGAATACACAATACAAACTTAAAATGTTATAAATACTTCACAAATTTAAGTTATTCTTTCAAGTCGAATTATTATGACAACTGTCATTATGACAACGGTAGTCTCGGTGACAAAACAATTTTGGCGACATTAGCGCCTCTGGCAAGCGTAGTCTAAACTTCTCAGCGGACAAGTTTTTGTACAGTAAAGATGCACAACCATGACTCTGACTTTTGACATTTTGGTATTCTAAGGTCCCAAATCTAGGGACCCTATGGTATTATTCATGTAAACGCCATCTATCGCCCTGTAGTTGCGTCGTGTCCTTTTAAATTTACTATATGGACATAACTTTTAAAAAAATTCTTATAAAACACATTGTAAAAATGATTTGATATAATTTATAAAATTAATAAGGTGGAGTGGGGTAAATGTAAAAATGGGGCAAATGTGATATTACATGGTAAAATTTAAAAAAAAAACATTAAAATTGCTTTCTTTAGTACCAAACTGACAAAACTTACATCCCTGATCTACTTGAGCCGGTTAGAGCTAGTATATTTTTCCACTGAAGTTTGACGGCTACAATTTGTGTTAAGTTTGTTATATTTTTAATTTTTTATGTTTTTGTAGAATAACTTTCTTATTTTTTGTAATAATTAAATGATTCAAAAAGCAAAATTTACAGAAAAATTGTGATTTTTACATTTACCCCACAAGATACCTCCATTGGAATCCTATAGTAAGGAACGGTCCATTATCACATTTGCCCCAAAATCTCGGGCAAATGTGATACATTGACATAAAAAAAAAATAATAATTTTCAGGTAGCCCCTGTTTCGATTTATTGTTTAGGTTATAGATATCGTTTGGTGAAGGACCAAGGATTATTCAGGAATTTTTACACAATATTTGCAATAAAAATCAAATTTTAATAGATCTTTAAAGTTACACCAGTCAAATTTTACATCACAATTACCCCACCTCATAGTAACCAAACTCAAAACTCAGAATGGTGATTTTAGTACCAAAATGTTATTTTATGTCCAATTTCCCCCTCTGGCGGCCATTTTATGAACTATATATACCACTTTGTCTGATAAAACCAGACGTGTTTTGCAATGCCTTTAAAGGGTGTCCGGGAAAAGGAAGTCAATCCGTTAACCATATATTCTTTGAGTTAAAACAATAAGACTTTCATAATACCATTTTTCAATTTAGAGCTTCATGTTCGATATACAGGGCAACAAAGTTTGAAATTTAAAACTGATTTTTTTTTAATAATTCGAGTAATTGATAAGATATTAAGTTCAAATTCGGTACACTACTTCAACATAAATAGTTACATTTATGAGACCAACAAAGCAAAAAACAATTGTCAAATAATCAAAATAGGGGGGGTCCAGTACTCACTGACTCCCCCTATTTTTAGTACGTGCGCCAATGACTTCCAAACGGCATTTTTCAGGTAATCATTTATTGTTAAAAAAAATTTGTCTCTTATAAAATTTTGATAAAATGATTTGTTTTAGAGATAATTTGTAAATTATGGGTCAGTCCATATCAAATCAACCAAAGGTTCTTCCCCCAACCATCTCCCATTTTGATAATTTTTGGTAAATTTGTTTACCTCACTAAAAAACTCAAAAATCTCATATATGAATTTTTTTCACTGGGTGGTTTTTGTTTAATTGATATTTGAAAATCAAAAAATTTCGATAAATTTGGGTTTTGCAAGTACTTACAAAAATAGCGATATCTCGTAAACTATTAAAAGTAGAAAGGTGAGTGATGGCTTATTTTAAAGGCCTATTAGAGACCTTTTTTATGATATATCACATGACCTAAATTTTTTCAAAAAAATTAAATTTCAAAAATTTGATTGACCCATACTTTACAAATTATCTCTAAAACAAATCATTTTATCAAAATTTTATAAGAGACAAAAAATTTTCAACAATAAATGATTACCTGAAAAAATACCGTTTGGAAGTCATTGGCGCACGTACTAGAAAATAGGGGGAGTCAGTGAGTACTGGACCCCCCCTATTTTGATTATTTGACAATTGTTTTTTGTTTTGTTGATCTCATAAATGCAACTATTTATGTTGAAGTTGTGTACCGAATTCAAACTTAATATCTTATCAAGTACTTGAATTATTAAAAAAAATCAGTTTTAAATTTCAAACTTTGTCGCCCTGTATATCGAACATGAAGCTCTAAATTGAAAAATGGTATTATGAAACTCTTATTGTTTTAACTCAAAGAATATATGGTTAACGGATTGACCTCCTTTTCCAGGACACCCTGTATATATATGCAATTGCATATTTTTCACAGAAAAGGTATTTTTTTTAGTTGTATCACTTTTCTTGTTTATGAGCCATATAATATTGCATAGTAATTTATTACTTTATTTTTAATATAAATCCTAAAGCAAATTTAAATAGGTAATATTATAATAATACTATTATTTATAATATACGCGGTTCTCTGAGGAGGCGAGTCCTCTGAGAAGTCACATCAAGAGCAAAACCAGAACAGACCAAGAAACAACTATTTAAATGAAGTATTCTTTAGGTCCTAATTATAACATCACCTGGTTAGGATTAATTAATCACTAGTTAAAGTCTAGATACCTCGAGCAGAGCGAAAGTATTTTAAGGCGTTTAAATATTGCTATTGCTTAGATTAAATCTTATGGCCGACTCGTATGGAACGCCGTTTTACTATTTATTACTAGTTGGTACCAATGTATCATTTAAATTATTGTTAATTTTTTTATAGGTTTGATAATGGAAATTAAAGATATTTTAATGACATGTTGGTATCAATATACAATAAATAGTAAAACGGCGTTGGAATTAAAATTTTATTTAAAAAGAAAGTAACCAATTTCAATGATTGTTTCATAGCTAAAAATGAATTTCAGTTTTAATGTAACTCCAAAATCAAGTATTTAAAATGTATATTTTTATGGGAAAATGATTTTTATTTTATTTCTTTTGTAATAATTTTATTTATATTTGATGTTGTATGTTTCTAATTTCTATGTTTATTTAGAATCAAAATACCAAATTCATTCAAAGAAATTGATCGTTGGGTAGGTAAATATAATATTTTTGTACTTTAATTTATTTGTTATTTGAATTTACATGTTTTCTGGATTTAAATTACACATAAATTTCTGTATTTCATAAGGGTTATAGATACAATTTCAATGTTGTACCAATTAATTAAATATTTCAAATATTGAAAATACATATCTATTCTTATTTAAAATGAAAATGATATTTAACATATTATTTAACAACAAAATTAAAACAATTTCCTTGATAATTTAATTTCTATTATACTTTAATTTCCATTTTACTTTAAATTTCATGATATTTTAATTTCGATTATACTTTAATTTACATGACACTTGAATTTCAATTATACTTTTAATTTTTATTATCGTAGCCATCTATTGAGGAAAAGCAGAAGCTAATACAGATGATACTTTAATTTCGATTATACTTTAATTCACATGATACTTGAATTTCCATTATACTTTTAATTTTTATTATCGTAGCCATCTATTGAACAAAAGAAGAAGTTAATTTAGATGATACTTTAATTTTGGTTATACTTTAATTCACATGACACTTGATTTTCCATTATACTTTTAATTTTTATTATCGTAATATGGAACGCCGTTTTACTATTTATTACTAGTTGGTACCAATGTATCATTTAAATTCAAGTGTCATGACACACATGCATGTGAATTAAAGTATTACCGAAATTAAAGTATCATCTAAATTAACTTCTGCTTTTGTTCAATAGATGGCTACGATAATAAAAATTGAAAGTATAATGGAAATTCAAGTGTCATGTGAATTAAAGTATAATCGAAATTAAAGTATCATCTGTATTAGCTTCTGCTTTTGTTCAATAGATGGCTACGATAATAAAAATTGAAAGTATAATGGAAATTCAAGTGTCATGTAAATTAAAGTATAATCGAAATTAAAATATCATGAAATTTAAAGTATAATCGTAATTAAAGTATAATATAAATTAAAGTATCAAGGAAATTGTTTCAATTTTGATGTTAAATAATAATTTAAATATCATTTTCATTTTAAATAAGAATGGATATGTATTTTTAATATTTGAAATATTTAATTAATTGGTACAACATTGAAATTGTTTATATAACCCTTCTGAAATACAGAAATGTATGTATCATTTAAATTCAGAAAACATGTAAATTCAAATAACAAATATGTTAATTAAACTTTATTTGTATATAAATTTATTTATAGTTATCATTATAACTTAAAATAAAAATTCAATGTTCATTATCGAAAATACCTTTAATTTACATTATCAAACCTATAAAAAAATTAACAATAATTTAAATGATACATTGGTACCAACTAGTAATAAATAGTAAAACGGCGTTCCATAGACTCGAGTGTTCCGATCACCGATCTATTCAAACTTTCTTGGACTGATTATTACTCGCTCATAGAGTTAAATTAAAAACAGTTAAAATAAAACTCCCCAGTCCCTGATTTGAATATAAAAAAACTTTTTTGAGTCCCAGCACACATTTTAAAATATATATTTCTCTATGCAGAGTATACTCTAATTTGATTCCTGCAAAGCTCTCATTACTCTTAATAACTATAGTTAATACATAAAGTATAGGAAATTCCGTAATTTTCTATAGCCAATAACCAATAGAGAAATGGACGAAACGATTACACAATCAATTATAATACATTCGTCTCTCTATTACTCGTTGCATATAGGAAATTAAGGAATTTCTGACACTGTATATACGTTTGTACTATCCAAACAAATTGTATAAACTTTTTCAGCAATAGTCTACAAACTGTTATATGAAGATGTATTTCATATACCAAATGTAGATGAAATAGTAAATAGCATGCTATATGACAAATCAAATATTATTTTGCCAATGGCAATGGATCCAAATGAGAGTAATGAAGGGAAAAAAGAAAACAATACATCAAATGAACCTTGTGAATTTGATCAAAATCCTACAAATATAGCTCCCTTCCCATTTAAGGTTGCCAAAGCTTTAGATCCAACTATTTATAGAAATATTGAGTATGATTCATGGGGAGAAGTCAGAAGAGGTAACAAATAAAAAATAATACAAAAAATAGGCTTTACAATTTATCAATTGATTTTTAGAATTCCGCTTGGGAGATTGGTATTATGGGGATGATAAACTGATATTAGGAACAAGATGCATTCTAAATGATACCATTCAAAACGAGCAATATGAATGCTACATTCAAGAAATAATCAAAGATCAAAATAAATGTGTTGTTTATTTAATAAAGCTTGCTGAAAAGAGGACTGTTGATTATACAAATCTTTCACCTGAGAATGATGCTAAACCATGGCCATTACCATACAGGTGTGTATAAATAATTTGCATAAAAATTGTTACAATATAACAATATTAAATAAAAAACAACAAAACTAAGTCTTAATAATGTTTGATCAATATTTTATTATTCTTAAATATTTTTTAAACAGGGGGTTTCTAATTTGTGCAATAATACACTAATGTTTTATATACTATGATAGATGATTAGAGTAATAAATACCTACAATGTTAAAAAATTAATCTTAATTATCTAATTAATATTACTTTTTTAAGATTGTAGGTATTTATTTTAGTTTTTATATACATCCTACTGTATAAAATAATAGTGATATATTTTTTAAACATGTTTTATAACCTGTTAGTTTTTGTTGATATTTTACGCTGCTTAAAAGATATCCTAGAAAATTACAGTAAAAATGTGTAATAGGCTGTATCCCTGCTTAAAATACCCCATAGAGACCCTGTTCAAACCGATAGATATTTGTATCGGGATGTATGGTGTTTCTATAGGGTGTATCAGTTTGTATAGGACCCATAGTTGAGATTTATGGTTGTTCTATAGGGATATCCACCATTGATTTATTTGCTATCGGTTTCAATGGGGAAAATACACATAAATGTAGAAATTAGTTTTTTACCTATAGGACCCCATAGGTTTTAATAAAATTTTGTCAAATGTTTTATGGTTGTTCTATAGGGATATCCCTATATATCCTTCATTGAGTTATTTTCTATCGGTCTCAATAGGGAAAATGTAAAAGTTATGGTGTGCCTATAGGTAATTTCCTATACATTTTCTATGCTGTATCCGGAAAAAATCTTGGACAAATGCACATATTGAAACCGGTAGCGCCCTATAGAATATTTTGTATAGGTCTCTATGGGGTATTTTAAGCAGGGATACCAAAAATAATTTTAATGTAATAAGAAATTAAAACAATATTTTAAAGCATTTACCATTATGATTTTTGTGTTGTTTTTGTCTACATTTTATGTATTCCAAGCCAATAAGTTATAAAAACACAATACATATTATTTTATAAAGAAAGCAGCTGGGCTGTGTACCAAAATTAAATTAAACTTATAGGATATATAAAACACTTAATAAAAACTTAACTCCAACATCATGTATACTATAAAATAAGCTTTTTACATATTCTCATGTTAGCACATTATTTAGAAACACCCTATAACCTGGCATGTTAAGTTAAACGATTTTTTTTGCATGTAGACATTGTATAATTTTTATGGATTTTAGGTTCTCTAAAAACCTTGTAATAGGCCCTACACCACTTTCAGTGCCTGAGAAAAATTCCAAAAATCTTAAAAAACGCAATAAGGACAAACGACGCAGTAAATCTTGTAGTGAGAGTAGCGCCTTATCCAACAACTTAAACAATCCTGATACAAATGATAATGTTAATCCCTTTGTGGGAATACCATTGGTAAAATAAATTAGTTTGGTTTATTACATTTTATCTTAAATTTGATTTTTAGCAAATGCAAAATCACAATGATACGACAGCTTTCCGCTCTTCAAACGAAAATGAAAACAGCTCTGAATCTCCAGAAGTTTCGCTATCGCCAGAATCCGAGCCACCGCCGGATGTAGCGCCTCAAAATATAAGATTTCCGCAATGGGAGGCCACTCAACAATGGCATCCATATTTAACTCCCACTCCGGATCCATTTATGTGGCAACCAACTCCTACCACCCCTCAAAATGTGTTTAACTTTGCCATGAAACCCATGATGACCTCTACACCATGTACACCTGATGTTATGTCATATTATGGTAAGTGATACTTTCCCGCACTCCATTGCAGCATAAAAGGCGAATTAAATATCAACCATATAGGCACTAGTGCAAACATTTGCTACTTTCAGCATATTTAAATATTTAATTAATAGTAATGAATCTTAGCAAAAATATAAAGCAACACTTTTTTGCACATATGAGGAACTTTTATAACGAGCTAAAGGCAAGTTATAAAACCTCATAGTGCAAAAAAGTTGCTTTTTATTTGGGTTGCATGCATTATTTTTTCACGCTTAGACTTTAAATGGTATTAGAAAGAATATTTTATTTATAGATCCCAATTATGTTTACTATTATAATTACCACAACTATGACCCATGTAATTATCAAGTATGGTCTGAATACAACACGCAACAATCAACAGAGGCTCTGGAAAGACATGAAGAACCAAGAAAGGACTCAAATACTGACATCAACCACAATGAAAAACCGATGGAACATTCCACTCCTGAACATCATCCTCAAGAACATCATGCACCCCCAGAGCGACCCCCTCCATTAAACATGTCGCTAGCCGCACCCCCTCAAATGATGGAAATGTACTCTCCTATGATTCCTATCCCGCCAGGTACACCGATTCTTTATGCACCAGCCCCAGAAATGCCTGAAATGATGATCCCCACTACACCATATACTGTTTTTACTCCCCCAGTGGATGTTCAGTATGTATCCCCAGGACCTTTTGTTTACCCTCCTACTCCACCGGCTGCGTGGTATCCAAGTCACCCAATTAATTCACAGGGCTTTATTTTCCCTACTGTCCCACCACCTATGCAGCCCCAGCAAACTGCAGGGCAAAAGTAGTCTTTTAAAGGAATTAACTATAAAGTTTTTATCAACTTTATTAAATCAATGTAATATTTGTGGATGCATTACCAGTTTGATCTAATCTTGCTTTGAAAATATGATGTCTACTTACAATACTACATAATTTATTGTGATAATTAAAATGAGACTGACAATTATTTCTTTATGTACAACCAATATTAAGTATTTTAGAAATTATGTTGATTTTATGGTAAGTGATCTCATTTTGCTAGTGTTAAAAACTTTATATAAATTCAGTTTATATTCTCATCATGTTGTTAGGTTTATTTATACATTTCTTAGCATTTATATTTTTGTACTGTTAAAATATAAATTTGTTGTTATTATTTATGTAAGAATGTTTATTTTAGTTATTTTTCAGAATATATTCTATGTTTATTTTTATATATGTTCTTAACTTTGTATTTTTATACCTTGACTCTAATTATTAAATATTTGTTATTAAATATATTTTTTGGCAAAAATACTGCATATTTTTAATAAATTTAAAATGTCATTTATCCTTGGAACAACCTTCTTCATTAAACATACCCCTGGTTTATACTAATTTTTTTTATTATTGACGTTATTAGCAAATTTTTTTAAAAGTGGTCAGGGCTCAGGTTAAAAATTAATTTAAAAATCTAAAACTGGACTGGTACATTTAGAAGAGTAAAAAGTAAGAAAAACCTTGTTTGAAAAGAAAATTATAAAATATGACTTTTTCTCACAATTTTAGGATTTGTTTAATTATTTTTAAAAGTGGTCAGGGTTCAAGTTAAAAATTAATTTACGTTTGAAATTTTTATTTCTATGACCACTATGTAAAAGTCAAATTTGGTATTGGCATTGTTGATTAGAAAATGAATCTTTTCATTGGCAAGGGAGTCATTCCAAATAAAAAACACCAAATGGGGTGCGCTGCTTGATTCTTTATTTTGATAAAAAAAAAATGAGGATCTTTTAGGTATCAAATATGAAAACCCGTTACCAACATCATCCTTCATTAAAATAAAAAATCATGCAGTGCACTTTTAAATTAATTTTTGGTGTTTTCATTTGGATTGACTCTAGGCAAAACTCGTATGTAAATTGTGACAGGTCTGTATGAAAAGAAATTGACAGCATCGTTAATGTCAAACGACGCAAATTCGAAGAAATTGAGCTGTTGTATGTCTTTTGGTCTGGATGATTCAGACCAAAAGACGTACAACAGCTCAATTTCTTCGAATTTGCGTGAATTTATTAAAATTTGTATATTTTTGTCAAATGTTAGGCAATTTGGCTTGTTTAACCATGAGTGAAGAATTCCAACGCCGTGCAATACTTGTATATATATAGAGTTCATTTTTTTTTTATCTGGACTCGTGTTTTTTTTTGTTAGGTTGGTGGCTTATGCCAGTTTGACCTAGTATTTTTAGTATTTAAAAATGGTACTTTTGCTAAAGAATTTAGTTAAATACTTTGACACTGTCAAATTGACAATAATATTTATTATTGATAATTTACTTGTCGAATGTAAAAGCCCATTTGAGGGCCAAGATACATACAACATGTTTGAGGGCAAAACTTCATTTTGATGAAATTATGCCAAATGCCACAATGGAAAAAAAAGTACATCGCCTTATGGACATTTCTGGAGTAAAAAAGTAACGAATTTGGTTTTATAAATACTTATTACATTACACATTATTTTCAGCTAAGCAGATCAAAAATTTTGGAGATACTTAAAAATAAGGATGAAAATTTTTACTTTGGATGATCTTTTAGTTTATGCGCGGAACGAAATTGAATGTACAAAAATTGATGGGAGGAAGATATTATGCGAGCGGAGTTATGTGGTGCGGGCAAAAATTACTTTTTTAAGAAAATATTTGGAACTTTTAAATTCAGGAGAGAATGTAAATTTAATTTTTTTGGATGAGACTTGGATTTACAAAAATGACAGTCAGGTAAGAAAGTGGGTAAAAGATGATAGAAGAATTAATGATATAAAGATAAAAAGTGAGGGTGAGAGATTTATTATATTGCATGCCGGTTATCGGGGCGGGTTTTTTCCAAATTGTGGCTTTTTATTTTTTAGTAAAAATAACGATCGCGATTATCATAAAACTATGAATGGTGATATATTTTTTGATTGGGTTCAAAACAAATTAGTTCCGGATTTAATTAATATTAAATATTAATTAATAGTAATGGATAATGCTCCTTACCATTCGGTTCTTTTGGAAAAACCAATTTCAAAATCTGCGAACAAACCAATTATTTCGACCTTTTTAGAAAAACACGGCATTTCTTTTGACCCTAAATTAAAAAAAACCATCCCTGGAAACTGGCGGAAAGTTTGATTTTAAAAACAGAAAAAAATATACCATTGTCAATATAACCCCATTGAAATGTTGTGGGGTTTTTGTAAAAAATATTATAATAAAAATATTGATTTAAAATTTTCCAGTCCAGATAAAGTAAAAACAGTTTGGCAAGAATCTTTATGAAAATTCACCGTTGAAGTGTGGGAAAATGTAGTTAATCTCACAGAAAAATTAATTTTGGAAGACTGGAGGAAAAACATGGGCAACATGGATTTTCGCAATGTTCCACCCCAGCAAACACATAAGTCTGGTAATGTAATGGCCCATTACAGCGTTTAATGGTTAAATGATGGCATTTTTAACCCAAGCTGTTCTTGTACTGGGCCTCTACAGGAATTTTTCGTTAATAAATGTCAATTTAGACCAAATGATGTCGTGGTAAGGTCTTGCAATGGCCCTTTTCAGGCAATGATATGTATAATTTAACATTAAAGGCCCACATATGGCAATTATAAGTAACAAGTTAATGGAACTGTAACACACCATTACAGTGCCAAATGTTTGCCTTTGCTTTACACCATATTTACTAATGAATTGCCTCATGTTAGTGGTATTATGCATATGCATATAGAAAAATAATATAGGTTTTGAGATATATTAATTAATTATCTAATAGGTGTATTTTATAATTAATTATTAATGAACTAAACAACTAGGTAGTATCTTTTTCAAGTAAGTATTTTTACTGTACAATTTTTACATTAATGTCGTACTATTTAATAACCTAGGTTAATATATTCTTTTACTAATGATACTTTTAAGTAAAAATTAATTAATTTTTAGAAACGGTTAGGCTAAAATTTGAATTAGCCACTATAAAAGATATTGAAAATACTATAAAAGCATGGTTAAGGGAAGCAATCGACAGGGATGGTGGTCGTAAAAATCGAGAGGAAAAAAATCAATGAAATTATTAATTTTTCTACATGTATTTTATAACACATTAAACACTTTGTATTTTTTTAATTTTTTGAAAGTGTTAGGGACATTACATGATAACGAAATTTTTGTCCCGACTGTTATCTATATAGTAAAGACCTATCTATTATGGTGGATTAAATTTGGTAGGTATATATTTATTAGGTCGGATATTACACGATAATCAGGAATTTTTATCCCTACCGTCAAAAATCGGTCGGGATAAAATATTTCAATTATCATGGAATATCCGTACCTAGTAAATATATAGGTAGGTACCACATTTAATCCGACATAATAGGTACTTTACTTATCCATTAAAGAATATTTAACTAACCACTATAGAATCTTTAACACCCCATATAAGAACCTTTAGCTTGCCGCATTTGTACCTTTAACCTGCCATATCGGAACCTTTAGCGGTTCTTGTAAGTGTCTTTATCGACTGCCGTTATATGCCCATAAAAGGTGAACGCGACATAATATGTAGAGATCCATTAAAGTCAGCCTTTAAAGGGCCTTTAGTTTATTAAAGGCATGCGTTTAAACGGCCATTACAGAACCTTTATGGTTGTGTTTGCTGGGACCATTAATTATATCGTTTGAAAATGAGTCTGATTCTGAGGATGAGTTAAATCTTCTTTCTGATGATGACTAATTTTCAAATGATATGATTATAGAGGATGAACAGTCTTGAGATTAATTTATTTGTGTGATTACACATTTGAAATTTCTAATTATCCATTATAATAATACGTTAAACCCGCGTTAGTCAAATGTTTAACTTAAATTTAAAAAAAACTTAAATAAAAAAAATAATAAAATGGTATAAAATCTGTAATTCTTGGATTTTTTAAATAAATTTTATAACGTATCGGTAAACTTTGCACCTCTTTAATTTGAATAATCTTAAATAGGGGGGCAGGGGGCTGGTACGGCCAGTTAAAAATGTAACTTTTTTTCGCAAACTTCAATTTAAATTCTGCTTGTGCAGATCTTGTCTATCCAATATCATTATAAACTCGTATAATTATACTTAAATTAAACTTAAGTTTGGAGTGGATCCCATGACTAATAACTAAATAACTAAGATATCAGTATACCCAAAATCCACCAGCTGCCACTGCTCAATATGTGTATTGGTACAGAGTTTTATCTTATATGATACCAATTAAAGTCAATTCTATTCCCAATTGATACCAATACACCAGATTCAAACCCATACATTAAAACATAAATTTCTATTGGTTTCTATTGTTCTTAAAGGGACATTTTCGGCAGGGTATACATTATAATTCTTATTGGGTTTAACAAAATACCTATTCACCATTGGACAACATTTACGTTCACAAAAAAATTTTTGTATATAAATTCTTTTCAAAGCGAAGAATATTATCCGCTAGGAATACTTTCTCTTCTGGGCCTTAAAGCAACCTATATTTAACTACTTTTTTATATGATTTTACTCATCCAAGCACCTCCAAAGCCAAATTAATTGCATTTTTAACTACGAATTTCGACAACTCAACTTGACAACTGCACAATGTAACCTACAATAATTTATACATAACCACAATTAGATTTTTAACTAGCTTAGTTTGTTTTAATCAATGCGACCAATTTTGGTTCTTTATATACCAACCATAACCCTAAATTTGCAACGTTGCCGCACTCCAGATAAAAAAAAAGAACTTTATATCCAATGATATGCTTAATTAGTTAATATAAATAAATCAACGTTTCTGCATGCGGCCCTAAGGCTATTACTTTTGTTTAGCACCTGAAAGTTTTAGGTGTTAAGTGGTTTATTTTATGTTTATGTTAGGCAAAGATTGGGACTGGTTTAGAGTGTACATACTTAAGATTTATGGGTTTGTATTTTTAAATTCACGTCCTATGGTCGGATATGCTTATTCTAATTTTCGGTCTAACTTGCTTTGCTGAAACATTAGGGATTCTTTGGGCTATTAAAATTATGGTTAATTTCTTTTAATGTTTTTTATTTCATTCTGTTTTCGTTGTCCCTTTTTCTACTTAAGAAAGAATAAACTTGGCTTGGCAGGCTTGGTGAATTTTGGAATTTCGAGTTTTTAGTATTGCAAAATATTATTAAAATACTTATCCGAATTTCGCCTTGATTCCTCGAGCTTGATCTCTTTTAGGTTCCCGCCACACCGAACCTCCTGTTCCTGGCAGGGGCGACACTTTCGTTCTGGTCCGTGGGGTATTTATGCACTTTGGGATTCGCGGAACTATACACTGTTGACCGGAACTTTATAGAATAATTACTTTTTAGATATTCTGGATTCAAAATGCACTGTTTAAAGCAACTATGGTTAGATTTTGTGGAGCAAAGAGATATACGTCTGGGGTACAAGTGATACTGTCATATTAAATGTGACAATATTTCTTTTAAAATATATTATTTTAGATTAAGTTTTTTTTATTTGATGTAACAAAATTAAAAACCTTCAACTTTTTAAGTTATTTTATTAAATATGTGACGACATGGATTATAATAGGGTGAATACTGTGTGTTAATTAACTTTCAAGAACGGTAAGCGTAAGTATAAAATTACGTAATGTGAAAATGCAAATCAAAAAACTAACCAGGGCTTACGATTCATCGTCGCTGCCGGCTGCTTGACGCGGTTTGGGTCCTCCCGCCCTTTTGGCCATGATGATCTGGTCGACGCGAAGAATGGTAGCGGCGGCACCAACGGCGTATTTTAGACCCCAGTACTTGCAGTTGTACAAGTCCAAGATGTGTTTTTCTACAGCGTCACACATTTCATTGGGTTTTTCAATGTCTACGCCAATATTTTTCTTGCCATCCTGTAAAGAACAAAATTGTAAATTTTCTTACACTAACACGGCAAGCTGCTCTATAGAGCCGGGTTTTGCCGGTAACCAATAGTCATGGAATCAAAAATACGTTTGTCTGCCAATTTAATAATATTTTTTATTTTACTTTTTTAAATTACAAGTTTATTAGGTTTTATTATTTAAACGAAGTAGCTCCCGTCCCGAGGCGGGACTTAAGTTCGATACCGACTGACGTCACACACTGTAAATCCGTTTTTATTCCCCGAGCGTTATAAAATTAATGTTAAGCTGGATGGCTCAGATTGTAGGGCGGTCGCTTGGCAAGCGAGAGGTACCGGGTTCGATACTAGAAGTTGTCGAACTTTTTTATTTTATAAATTTGTTGTTCCTTTATTTTTGCTACTAATTTTTAATAAAAAAAATCATACCTCGAACTAATGTTTTTACGAAATGATTTTTTATAGAAATGTATTTTTTTAACCAATATGTTTATTTTACGGTCTAAGACGTAAATGTGGACATTGACGTTAATGACCGGACAATATCGTAAGTTCCCTTTTGTTTTGGAAACTATCGACAAAGCCTGGCCAATAACGATAATGTCCAGTGGATTGGTCAACGATGTTGGCTTAGAAGGTTTTAGTATACAACATTGGCCAGGCGAAGTTGTTTAATTTATTTATCTTTTGTTTTATTTAAATGTAACCCAATTTGGGTTGTTTCCAGCTAGTGCAATTTTAGTGTATTTACGTGCTTAGCACAAATATAATTTTATATGTTTTTATTTAAAGAAAACATTAAGGTTTTATAAGTGGCTCAGGCGGGGTTGGAAGTAAAATAATTATTTGGATTTTTACTACAAAAACATAAAACCTAATGTTTTTAAAATTGTATGTGTATCTGTGTATTGATGTACGCTAAAAAAATCATTATTTACCGCGTTTCGACCGATCATAAAATTCGATAATAATCTGGCTTTCTACTTTTAAGAATTGAAGGGGTAAGAAGCAAAAGGGCACAAGTGCATTTTGACATGAAAATAAGTTAAGTGCAGAATTGTGTAAATTACAGTCCAAATTTTAAAAAAAATTCTCTTAACGTGAAAATTGTACGAGTTCTGCATGTTGATTAATGCAAACAACAATATTGAAAGAAGTATCCAGATTTTTGTATTTAGCAAAAACTTTAAAAGTTAATAACTCCACTTTTTTGTACTTGTACCCTTTTTTTCTCTTAACCCTTCAATTGTACGGTTCATTTATCGTTTAATCGGGCGTTAAATAAAATTGTGCCTCGAAGAAAATATTACTAGAGGCACGCTAACGTACCGCGATTGAAAATATTAAAGGCACGTTAGTTACGTCATAATTATAATCCGTTTTTGTTCCCCGAGCGTTTAATATTTGACATCAAGCTAGACAGCTCATATGGTAGGGCGGTCGCTTGGCATGCGAGAGGTCCCGGGTTCGATATTAAGAAGTTGTCGAACTTTTTTTATTTTTTTATTTCATAAATTTGTTGTTTCTTTGTTAAACAGTGTTCGGTTGGGTTGGGTTGGTTGGTTTGTTTTAGTTTTATCGTAACATAAAATCTACTAGAAGTTGTCGAACTTTTTTTATTTCATAAATTTGTTGTTCCTTTGTTAAAAAGTGTTTTATTTTTATCGTAACATAAATTTGCCCATTTTAGTTGGGTTTTTTGTTCAATGGGGCGTGGGGGGGGGAAATGGGGCGGGGTCGGTTGTGTTGTGTTGTTGAGTTTGGGATGGTTTGGGTTTATGACGTAACTAACGTGCCTTTAACATTTTAAATCGCGGCACGTTAGCGTGCCTCTAGTCACAGCGTTTTTATATGGGTTACCTAACCTCAATTCTACACCTTTATAAACAGTTTTACCCAAAGATTATCTTTGGTTTTACCTTCAAACAATAATTTATAATTAAAATTATAGATGGCAGCATTACGTAATACTTAGTAATACAAAAATACCAAATGTTATTACGTAATACGAGGTAATAAATGGTAAGTTTACATAATACCACAGACATAATACTGTGCATAATACTTGGAAGTATTACGCGTTTTGCGTAATAGGCGTAAAATTTGGCCCGGTGGTTTACCCCTCGCCTTGCAGACATTTGAATACCCTATATCTCCAAAATCAAGCGGTTGCAGAACTAAGTTTATGTAAACTTTTTCTTCAAAATCATTCAAGAAACTGATAGAACTGATTTTGATTTAAACGAAAACAAAATAGCAATAGGTTTAATTCATACTACAGAAAAACGTTTTTATAGAATAAGGTATTTAGACCCAATTTTAATTTTTCATTACAATATAAAAAAACCCAAAGCTTATCAAATTGCTTTCAAAACTAAATTGGAAAACAGTTTGCTAGATTTACTATCTACTCACAAACAAAAAGGTTTAGGTAAATTTTATGTTTTTTCTCGAATTAGAACATATAATAAAATATTCTTACCTGATGTGCTTTAAGAATTTCTGCCAAAAGCGCTGTAGACTTGTGTCCGCTGTTATCAGCTAAGGTTTTAGGGAAGTTTTCCAAAGCAGACGCGAATTTCCTTACGGCATATTGTTCCAATCCAGGTAAAGTGTCGGCGTATTTGGACAATTGTATGGCCAATTCGGCTTCTGTGGCTCCGGCACCTGCTACGCTTCTTCCATCGCGAGACATACACTATAAAAAGTAAATACAAAGTAAGAGTAATACATATTCGTATGCATATTATGTTAAATATTAAAGTATTAAATGTAATCTTACTTTGAATGTGTTAACTCCATCATCAATGGCACGTTCAATATCGTCCATGTAGTTGTCGGTAGCTCCTCTAACTACGATTGTTGCGATACGCGATTCTTTGCTTTCCAACCTGAAAACAACCATTGGAGTGTCTCCCAATTCCTCTACCAATACTGTGTCACAGTATCCTAATTCTTGAGAAGTTGGTGGAGTCATCCTCGGTAGAACAGTACCATTTACCTAAAAAATAAACAAGATTATAAATTTGTAATGCATGTTCCTCGCTTTTTTTTTAATTATTTTAAGTAAAGTTGATATTTAATGAACAAATAATTAAATAGTTGGCTATTTTGTTGACAAAACATTTGTAATAGTGAATTTTTTATTAATCTTAAAAGCTCTATTATATTTTTACTATTAATCTTAAAAGCACTATTAATTTAAATGTGTTTAATTAAGGAGGTTCCAAAACCCTCTTGTCCACCAAGATACACTCATTGCCAACATAATAAAAATAAAACTTTCAATTCCATCCATTATATCCTAAGAAAACGGAGTTTTCGATATTTTAACCCACCTTAAATCCATGTCCCAACATAGGCTAAGTTGAGCGCATTGGTGGGGGTTCATGTGGCCGTTGATTAAATTAAATATCGAAACGTCGTGAGATTTTGGTAATAAGAAGATGATTTATCAGTGCCGCGGCTTTCCGTTTGTTAGTACAGAGCGGCTACCAAAGTACATGTATTTAATTTTGCCTGAACATAGATATGATGGACGGGGTGACATTCCTTAGACCGCTCAACTTAGCCTGAACGGACAGTACAACATAACATGAAGGGTTTGTATTTGTATCAATAAATAAAAATATAATGACAGAAAATATGGTTATTTTAATGAATAAAGCACACTTACAGTTTTGCTTAATCTTCTTAGATCGAATTTGGAGTTAAGTCTGACAGCCATCATGTTATACTTGTTAATATAGTGGAGAGCCATGTCGCCAAACTTGGCTCCTGCCACAATAACATTAGCACCAGTATCAGCAATGGCTTTGATTTGCAATTCCAAGAGATTCTCTTCGCCTCTGCTAAAGTTCATCAATTCGTCGGCGGTTTTGATTAAAACCGTGCCTTTGGTTTCAGTTTGCATAATATCTACGGCACAGCTGTAGATGGCAACCTTGGCATTCTTAATATTTGTGATTTCTCCTTCCACATGCCGTTTAAACACCATTCCTTGGACGACAGAGGAAGCATGAATACCGGAGCCCAAAATCTTGCAAACTCTCACATTGTCAACGTTAAAGGTGGTTTCTTCTGGCATGATTGATACACAGGCTTTGGCTACTAATTCTGAGAGGAAATCTTCGTTTCCGTACTGTTTGGATTGGATTGACGTGCGAATGCCTTTTACGACTTCTTGAATGTTTCTGTAATCTTTCACTTCATAGCACACTAATGTGGGAAGGATTTCTAGACATTTGTCCAAAGCCTTTTCATAACCTTCTGCTATTTCTGTTGGGGTTACACCTAATCTGATAAGCTCCTCAGAACACTCTAAAAAAATATTCAGGTTATTCTAAATAGAAGCAGCAATAAAGTTAAATATATCTAGGACTAGAGATGTGTCGGTCAGATCTGAACCGGCTCAGTGAACAGTATCTTAGAACTGATCTACGTGAACTGGTTCACGAAAATTAAACGAACCGGATCACGGGTCAGAGCGAACCAGAGAACTGTGTTGGAGTTGGTCGCGGCCGCGCGCAAGCGGTCAGGCTCACAGTTCGAGACAAAACGCAATACGTTTTGTGGTCTGTTATCGAGATCTGACCGATACATCTCGCTAGTGCCTAGTGCATTCCGTGGCGCGTAACTACGTTTGGTAGTCACAGAAATATGAAAGGATATTCCTTTATGTCAACGTCTTTTTTATAAAAAAAAATTATATATTATTATTATTAAATAATTTAAGTTGACTTTTAAAATACAACTTTTTATGTAAAATACTAAAGTAATAGACTTTTTATTGTTATAGAAAACTGTAATAAAATATAATATATTGTTTAATAATAAAAAAGTAATTTAAAATAGATATCACTATTCTAAGTTCAAAAAAATATGTATAAATAAACTTTACTATTTAATAGTAATAAATATATTGGCTTATAATTACAATTACAATTTGTATTACCTTATAACATAATAAAGGCTATTAAATAATAAAGTGGTAGATGTTTAAAAACACACATACGAAGGCTTATACAAAAATCATATAAAAGGACAGCAGAAGTGGTTTATATTAACAATGCAACGTAGAATTTTTTTGCACAGACTGTGGTTGAAATGATTTTATTTTTAGTAATGTTTTAATTAATCTAAGATTAAAACGGCTTTGAAACCGGTTCACTGAGCCGGTTCACTAATGTGATCCAGATCCAGTGATCCGGTTTAAAAGAGCGACACGGAACGGCTATTACCACCTAGGAAGCAATAAATGTTTGGCACTATTTATCGGATTTGTACTCAGGCTGTTCTGAAATTGGCGCACTATCGGCGTATCACGCGATTCGGGAGATTTTTTTTTTATTTATAAAGAAAATTTATAAACAAACTTATGTTAATAATAGGAAAAAAGTTCTAAAATTAAAAATTTGTTTCTGTCAACATTACTAAAATAACTTAGACCAGGTCAGTAAAAATCCTATTTAAACCAACCATAAATTTGACTAGTGTCAGATCTACCTAATCTTACGTCTTACTTTTAATATTTAATATAATATATATATACAGGGTGTCCAAAATGTGATGGGATAACATTGCTATCTCGGAAACGGTTATAGTTGGAATAGAGCGTCATGAGTTCAAAAGTTGCATAATTATATGCCTTTTGTGGCATGTGAATATTGCAAAAAAAAATCAGCAGACCTCAAAATATTTAAAAAAAACTGAAAATCGGTTAAAACTTATTATTGCTATAACTTTTTTATTTATAGGAATTTAAAAAACTGAATAGTTAACATGAAAACATACACAATTACCTACATTTTGATCCAATTTGTATATTTTTACTCCTACTAGATTTGGAGATATGGCCACTATCTTTTGTTTTTCCTATGGAAGCCATATTGAACTTTTGCATAAAAAAATTGAAAAAATATAAAAGATTTTAACTATGTACGAGCCCTTCATAATTTATACAGAAATATTTTTCGTGAATACTCAAAATTATTAGAAGTTATGAAAAATTCAGCTTATTTTGGCATATACCCCTCGAAGCAATTTTTATTTTTACAAAGTTTACCTTTTATTTTTAGCTTTTAAGAAAAGGCTAACTTTTTAACTTTTTTTTGTATGAGTAAAAAAAGTTATAAATGGGCCCATTAAAAAGAACATAAAATATTATACAAACCCTGAAAATTTGGTAAAAATTGTATAAATAATAAGAAAGTTATAACGATATATACAAGGTGTCCCTAAACTTAGTGGCATAAATTTAGGAGCAGATTAAGCAAGTCAAAATAAGACGAAAATCTAAATAAATATTTTTCCTAATTACGTATTTTTAAAAGATACAGGTTGATAAAGTGTTACTTATCATTTCAGTTTTTTTAATATAACTTTTACTATGGTAGATTTGGAAAGGTGATATTTTGCGAACAGTCACTTACTAGCAAAACACATATTCACACATAATAACAATTGTTCGAGTGAACACAGTGTCGTAGAAACAGGGGTTGCTTAAGCTTATTGTCCCATACAAACTTTGAGGTTAGGTTTTTATACCATTTGATGCAATTTTTCGATTACTCAGTTCGGCAACTATTAAAAAGGTGTACCTCTCAAACTTCGATAAAATTAACCGTTTCCGAGATATTCGAGATAACAATAATTGTTATATCGCATTAAAGGACTAAAAGGTATATGAAGAAATTTTTTAATTGAAAAAACTACAATTTTTTTTAATGTGGCGGTCAGGGCAAAAAGTCCCGAGGCTCGTGGAATGCTCTATTTAGTTTTTTCAATAAAAAAATAAAATTTGTTATCATAATCCTTTTAAATAATGCGATATAACAATTACAGGAATCTCGAATATCTCGGAAACGGTTTATTTTATCGAAGTTTGAGAGGTACACCTTTCTAATGGAAGCCTAACTGTTTAATCGAAAAATTGCATCAAATGTTACAAAAACCTAACCTCAAAGTTTGTATGGGACAATAAGCTTAAAGCAACCCCAGTTTCTACGACACTGTGTTCACTCAAACAATTGTAATTATGTCTGAATATGTGTTTTGGAAGTAAGTGACTGTTCGCAAAATATCACCTTTCCAAATCTACCATAGTAGAAGTTATATTAAAAAAACTGAAATGATAAGTAACACTTTATCACCCTGTATCTTTTAAACATAGGTAATTAGGACAAATATTTATTTAGATTTTCGTCTTATTTTGACTTGCTTAATCTGCTGCTAAATTTATGCCACTAAGTTTAGGGACACCTTGTATATATGCAAAATCTCCCGTTTCCTAAGAAAATTGCAAAAACTCTTTAAAAATAGCATTTTTAAATTACTTATACTTTTTTATAACTAATTTATTTTTTACCAAATTTTCAGGGTTTGTATAATATTTTATGCTCTTTTTAATGGGTCCATTTATAACTTTTTTTACTCATACAAAACAAAGTTTAAAAGTTAGCCATTTTTTAAAAGCATAAAATAAAAGGTAAACTTTTTAAAAATAAAAATCGCTTCGAGGGGTATATGCTAAAATAAGCTGAATTTTTCATAACTTCTAATATTTTTTAATTCACGAAAAATATTTCTGTATAAATTATGAAGTGTCCGAACATTTTTGTGTTAGGGCTCGTATTATACATGGTACTTTAGCCAAAAATAAACCCATTAAAATCAACTTTTTATTATTATGAAATATCTGTATACAGATATTAATTAGTTTAAATTTCACAGTTTACGTGAGGTTATTTAAGTTTAAATTTCACAGTATACCCAAGCCAAATTGTCCACTTTTTTAAAATCACATCACAAATTTTTTTTAATACATTTTTCAGAACAGATATTGAAGAAAAAAAACCTAATTGAAGATAACCAAATTATCAGGAAAACGATTTAAGTGCCTGTGTAAATAGGGCACTTTAATACTCATGTTACATACAAGGGATTTGAAACTGTTAAGCATCTTGTTTACTAGTTTCCAGAAAATTTTCAACAACTGCAACAAATGAAATCCAGGACTTTCGCTTAGCCTTATCCATCGAATTTACGAAGGCAGGATCCTTCATGGGCCATCAGCTATTCCTGCTTTAAGTTTTTGCCAACTCATTTTCTTCTCTTTATATGCAAAGCATGATCCACTATTATCAAAAGCCTTTACAAACTGCTTCATAAGAATTAGCTTAATATGCAGTGGAAGAAAGATGATTTTCTCCCATTCAAGGGATCATTAATGACATTCTTTTTCCCAACGTTCAAGTTTTCTCTCTTAGGCCACTATTTTTTAACCCAGTGGTGTGTTTCCTCTGCTATCCCAAAGGCACAAGAAGCAAGGATATTTGGTGTAGCCACTTTGCTGTCCAAGGAAAAAGTTTACCATTTTTAAGTCACCTATTGATGTTATTGATACTCTATCTTCTTCATCACCAAAGCTATGGTGTTATATTCTACTTTCATTTTTGTTGAGTGAGCAATTGCTATTACATTGTGTAGATGGACACTTTTTAAACTTCGCCTTGAGTTGCTAATAAATAGGCGCCAATCATCTTGAACATATTCAGGAAGACCCATGTTTTCCACAAGTCTTCTAATATTGTGACAAAATACAAAATTGTCTTCTTAAGAGAAGAAAGGTAAAATACCCTTTTCCCTTATACAGTAAAAAGTAATTTTGGTTCTTTTTCTAGTAAATTTTTCTCACATTAATTCCCACAATACTGTAAGTTATCAAAAGTGGACAGAAATAACAAACCAATTAATGCCCACAAACAAAAAAAACTTAAAAACAGCCCCAAAAAGAAGATGCAATGGTCAGCAGAGCCCCTTTTACTTAATTTGATTTAAAAATAATATTGTAGTTTAGAAAACAACTATTTAAATAGATAAGGTGACCAACTTTCTAAAATAAAAAACAGGACAAAACATGCCTCTCCTCGCCCTTCCAAAAAATAAACAAAATTTATTTTATTGTCTCACATTATTTCGCACAATACTGTAAGTTATCAAAAGTCGACAGAAATAACAATCCAATTAAAGCCCACAAACAAAAAACCTTAAAAACACCCCCAAGAAGAAGATGCAATGGTCAGCAGAGCCCCTTTTACTTAATTTAATTTAAAAATAATATTTTACTTAAGAAATAAAATCTTTAAATAGATAAGGTGACTAACTTTCTAAAATAAAAAAAACAGGACACAACATGCCTCTCCTCGCCCTTCCAAAAAATAAACAAATTTTATTTTATTGAATGTTCATTATTTAAAAAAAGATTTGCTAATAACGTCAATAATAAAAAAATTATCCTGAAGGTATTTAAATTTTTAAAT